AGTACTCCAATATACTCTAAGTTACATCTTGTATAGATTATTGCAACACACTCTACATAAGACTGGACTGTTGGAGCAACTCACAGGGAGCATACAACCCCCCTGTTGAGCCGGCTCCACTGGCTGCTGGTTTGCTACCGAGCACAATTCAAAATGCTGGCTTTAACCTATAAATCCCTAAAGGGTTCCGGTTGAGCTTGCCTATCCGAACGTGTCTCCCTTTATAAGCTAGCTAGAGCCTTAAGATAGTCTGTAGAGGTCCTGCTCTCGGTCCCACCTCCCTCACAGGCACGACCGGTGGTGACAAGAGACAGGGACTTCTCTAGTGAGATCAGGTCAATCCTCCTGACATTTAGGAAACTGCTTAAAATGTGATTTTTTTAAGCAAGCATTTGGAGAGTGTGATGAAGCAGCCATGATAACTTCAGTATTGGTACAGTGCCCAGTGTTTTATGTTTTATATTGCCTGTGTTTGATGTTTCATAGTCTAATGGTTTTAATCTGTTGTTATATGCTATTTTAGTTATGTGTTGTATTTTGTGAGACATTTAATTTTGCCATTTACTTTGTTGTGAACTGCTTTGAGTCCCCCTTGGGGTAGAGAAAAGGGGTAAATCAATCAATAAATAGGTGTATTTTAGTGGTGATTTGAATCTGCGGTTAATCTGTGCTCACCAAACTGGTATTGTATTTCAGTGCTGATCACAAATATGTTACTAAAGGTTATTTTTGAATAAATAGGAAGATTCATATTGTACAAATGCTCTTCTCTTCATATCTCATATGCTTTTTGAAAATAAACTTGGGCTTTCTCACTATCTCTAGGAAGAAACTCAGGTCCTTCATAAAGAACTGGAAAAGTTACAGAAACAAGTGAGTGGTTCACATCTGGCACAGAGTGAAGATCTTAGCATGATCTCCTCCCTTTTCAGCCTCTGCAAAATTGTATCTCCATGATGCCTGAGCCCCTACAGAAGGTCACTGAGGTGTTTTTATAATACATATATTGTCCTGGGAATATTTGTGCTTCCTTAACCTTACAAATTCTTGGTGGCACTCTTTTTCCCCCCTGTTAAGGGCAGATCAAATTTCACTGATTTTAGTATTAGTATTTAGTATTACACTAAGTATGCAAAATATTTACCTACAGCATTAACCAATTATAGAAATGAGAAATAACCTCAGAAGACAAAGTGTGTATAAGTCTGAAGATGTTCCTAGTGGCAAATCATAGATGGTGTTGCTAACTGAAGTAATCTTTTTCTCTTTTAGGTGTTTGTTCTACAAAAGCAGCTGTCCCTACAAAAGAAACAGAAGCAAGAGTATATTGATTCCTGTGCTAGAACAAATCAGGAACTTTCAGGTTTGCATCAAGAACTCTCAGATTCATTAGCTGCCGTGGCAAAGGAGCCTGAGGCTACTGTCCTTGCATTGGAAACCCGGAAGCTTGATGAATCTCTGAACCACAGTTTGTCACAGGCTGCAGGGAGCTGGGATGGCTTCTTATCTGGGAAACGTCTCATAAGCTCTACGCCCAAAAGACCACAGCAGAAGGACTCAAAATAACAGGGAGCAAGTAGTATCAAGCATGAGCCAGACATTCAACCAAATCCAAGTCCTCAAATCTTAAGAGCTCCTTCATTTTGCATAAATGTTAACCCAGGTCTGAGAATTTTCCCTTCACTTCACTTGTTGGACACTTTCCTGCCATCTTTTTATCCTTGAAGATAAAGTCCACACTGTTTAGAGTGAGCAAAGATCACGTGAACACAGATTATGAAAGAACTGGTGGTTGATAATATGCATAGTAAATATATTGTTGCAGAATATGAAAAACAGGACAGTCAAAGAGAGCTATGTATGACTACTGAATGTCTGCTGGGAAAGTTAAAAATTACAGACTAAATGCTGATATTAGCTGAACTCATTGGAAATATTAGAAATCTGATATTTCAAAACAGAAGAGGAAGGAGTCCAAGCCAAAGAGTATTACTTTCAGATGAATTAATTTTATAACAAAATTTTAGTTTCATAATTAATGCCTTAACCTGTTCTAAGCTTCACAGTAATGTAATGTCAAAAAGGTTATGTTTTATAATATTTTTGTACTACAGATTTTCTTAATATTTATAATAAATATATTCATGTTAACTTTTCTCCTCGTTTCTTTTCTGCTTAAACATTTTTGTATTACTACTCTTTCTCTTGATTTTCTACCCATCTTTATTCATTTGCATTTCACCACCTGAAATCAGAATTAGGCCATTGTTGTGTTTGTTCTGCGCTTGCTAGCAGTATACACAAGTGTGGAAATCATGTGGCCTCCTTAAAGTTCTGGGCTATTTATACATAAGTTCCAATAATATTTTCTGTGAAAATGAGGTTTGGATTTTTCCCTGTATACTTATGTACTACAGTTGAGTTTTGTGTTGTTTCCTCTATAGCCACTCAAGCTGTTTCATCACAAACCTTATTGTCAACAGATTTTCTTTTCTTTTTTAATTAGAAACTTATCAATTTCAGTGATAATTACCACAACTTAACAAATTGTGCAAATAATAAAAATTATAACTGTACCTATGCTTGAACAGCACCAGCACTCCTCTTCTGAAATGAAAAAATCCCTGTGGACATTTCTTAAACACAGGCTGGATGGCCATCTTTGATTGTGTGTTTCTATCTGGTTGAAAGGAGTTGAACTAGATCCCCTTTGAGGGTCTCTTCCAATGGAGTCCCCTTCTCTGGATGTTTTTGAACTGAGGTTGGATGGCTGTTGGGAGGGCTTTGACAGTGTCTTCCGGCCTGGCTGAAGGGGGTAGGACTAGATTTGAGAGTCCCTTCTAATTCTCTCCTGGACAGGCCAACATGCTCCTTTCAAAGTGGGGGGTGGGTGGGAACGACCGGTAGGCTGTTAGGAATTGTGGGAGTTGAAGTCCAAAACACCTAGAGGGCCCAAGTTTGCCCATGCCTCATATATAGAGAGACACTTCAGTGAATAAACTTATTTTGACAAACTTCTTTTCCTTCTGTCCAGCTGGAATGGATGACTGATTCGTACTTTTCCTTGATTCTTACTTTTCCTGCCAAATCAGGACAGTTGGTGGGTATACAATCCTATATATGTGTACTGAGAAGTAAACACAATTGAATTCAATTGGATTAACTGCATAGTACTCCCCTAATCTCTTTAGCAAAAAAAAGAGAAGTTTAAATTTTCTTCCATCACCTGAATGGCATCAGGAAACCTGTTGAGATTCCCAAGTCCTTGCTCGTGCATCAGATATAACCATGGAAAGTAAACACAGTGAAGGTTCTTAGATCCTTGCAGAATTTTGCAACAGAAAGTTAGGGGTCTCTTGCACTGTAGGCAGCAACAACAATAAACAATGTCCCAAGGCCAGTCAGCTCCTAGTTCCTACAGATCACTCCAAAGCACCAAAACTTTTGTACCTGCGCTTCATTTGTTTTTGATGGGGAACACATTTTAATGTGTGCATTTGTATATGCTTTCAAGTCATCTATTAACTTATGTGACCCCAATAATTTCAAAGGTTTCCTCAGGTAATGAATATACAGAAGTAATTTTGCTCATTCCTTCCTCTGAAATACATCTTACATCGCTTGGGATTCACTGGTGGTCTTCCAAGATGATATAGGATTTGGTGTCTTTAGAGAGTATGTGGGTCATCCATCTATATAAATAAAAATGTAATGTTCGTTTGTGGGATTAACATAATTCAAAAACCACTGGACGAATTGCCACCAAATTTGGCCTCAAAACACCTACTAACCCAAGGAGTGACCATCACTTTAAAAAATTGATTTCGTCATTTGGGAATTGTAGTTGCTGGGATTTTTAGCTAACCTACAGTCAAAGAGCATTCTGAACTCCATCTATAATGGAAATGAACCAAACGTGGCACACAGGACTCCCTTGACCAACAGAAAACACTAGAAGAGGTTGGTGGGCATTGACCTTGAGTTTGGGAGTTGTAGTTCACATACATCCAGAGAGCACTGTGGACTCAAACAATGATGGATCTGGACCAAACTTGGCACGAATACTCAATATGCCCAAATATGAACACAGATGGAGTTTGGGGGAAATAGAGTTGTAGTTGCTGGGATTTATAGTTCACCTACAACCAAAGAGCATTCCGAACCCCACCAATGACAGAATTGGGGCAAACTTCCCACACAGAACCCTCATGACCAACAGAAAATACTCAAGGCCATCCAGTCCAACTCCCATCACCAGGGCAAGAAAACAAAATCAAAGCCACCCAGCCATAGATATAGACAGATATATATAATTCACGCACACAGAGTTATAGTATCATAGATTTGAAAGGGACCCCTAAAGATGGACAATTATATGTTGCATGTTCCAGAGTAGACAAACCAGACTATCTCCACATCAACACTGACAAAGAAATACAAGCATAAAGAAATTATATACATTAGAAATCAACACTTTCTTATTACTTTATTTTCCAGATTACCAAGCTGGGCCACAGCAACACGTGGCAGGGGACAGCTAGTATGTCAATATAAGGTTGAAAATGGGGCTGAAATACACTTTCAATCCCATATAGATTCATCTAAAGCAGGCATGGGCAAACTTGGGCCCTCCCTCCAGGTGTTTTGGACTTCAACTCCCACAATTCCTAACAACCTACCGGCTGTTAGGAATTGTGGGAGTTGAAGTCCAAAACACCTGGAGGGAGGGCCCAAGTTTGCCCATGCCTGATATACAGAGAGACATTTCAATGAAAAAGCTTTTTTTGACAAACTTCTCTTCCTTCTGTCCAGCTGGAGCTGTTTTTCAGTGACTAGATGGCAGTGGCGTGTCTTCAGTAAAGGCTCGTCTACAGTCAAGCGTGAAGGAAGTTCTCCACTTGAGCTGCCACTGCTCAAGGCCGTAGAATCACTGCTGTTGTCAAGGCGCAGTGGCACAGGACTCGTTGCTAAGGGGTGGGGCCAGAGCCAGGGCCGGAAGTCGGCCGCCACTTCCGGGTGGGCGGGGAGAGCGCCGGCCATGGAGTCTCTCTCGAGGCTCAAGCGGTTCGACGCTTTCCCAAAGACTCTGGAAGACTTCCGCGTCAAGACCTGCGGAGGGGCGCTGGGTGAGAGGGGCCGCCGGGCCTGGGGCGGAGAGGGAAGGCGGACTGGCACCGCTCTCACTGCCATGGCCATCTCACTGCCATTCATTCTGCAGCAGGCATGGGCCAACTTGGGCCCTCCCTCCAGGGGTTTGGCACTTCAACTCCCACAATCCCTAACAGCCTCAGGTTCTTTCCTTTTTTCTCCCCAGGAAAAGGAAAGGGACTGAGGCTGTTAGGGATTGTGGGAGTTGAAGTCCCAAACACCTGAAGGGCCCCAGTCTGCCCATTCTTGCTGTAGATGCACCCTTGGACTCCTGAATGTAATTTTATACACAATACTAGCGGTCCCCTGCCACGCGTTGCTGTGGCCCAGTCTGGTGATATGGAAAATAAAGTAATAAGAAAGTAGGTTCTTGTAGGTTTTTTCGGGCTATAGGGCCATGTTCTAGAGACATTTCTCCTGACGTTTCGCCTGCATCTATGGCAAGCATCCTCAGAGGTAGTGAGGTCTGTTGGAAATAGAAAAATGGGTTTATATATCTGTGGAATGACTGGGGTGGGGCAAAGAGCTTTCTGCTGAAGGTAGGTGTGAATGTTTCAGCTGACCACCTTCATTAGCATTTGAAGGCCTGCCTGAGCCTGGGAAAATGTTCTGTTAAGAGGTGTTAATAAGAAAGTGTTGGTTTCTCATATATGTAATGTCTTTATGCTTGTGGGTAAACAGTATTTCTTGCTGTTTCTTTGTCAGTGTTGATGTGGAGAGTGTCTAGATTGCCTACTCTGGAACATGCAACATATAATTGCCCTTCTTTAGGGGTCCCTTTCAAATCTATGGGGAGCCCCCGGTGGCGCAGTGGGGTAAAGCACTGAGCTGCTGAGCTTGTTGATCGAAAGGTCGCAGGTTCGATTCCGGGGAGCAGCGTGAGCTTCCGCTGTCAGCCCTAGCTTCTGCCAACCTAGCAGTTCGAAAACATGCAAATGTGAGTAGATCAATAGGTACCGCTCCGGCGGGAAGGTAACAGCGCTCCATGCAGTCATGCCGTCCACATGACCTTGGACAACGCCGGCTCTTCGGCTTAGAAATGGAGATGAGCACCACATCCCAGAGTCAGACATTACTGGACTTAATGTCAGGGGACTACCTTTACCTTTACTTCAAATCTATGATACTACATTTCTCTGTGTGTGAATCATATCTATCTATATAAAAATGCTCTGTGCATAATTAGTACCTTAAAAACAAAAGAACCAATGAATGAAATCACACCAAATTTGGCAACAAAATGTCTCACAACACAAGGAGTGACCATCACTCAAAAAATTACGATTTTTCATTTGGGAGTTGTAGTTGCTGGAATTTATAGTTCACCTACAATCAAAGAGCATTCTGAACTCCATCAATGATGGGATTGAACCAAACTTGGCACACAGAACTCCCATGACCAACAGAAAATATTGGAAGGGTTTGGTGGGCATTGACCTTGAGTTTGGAAGTTGTAGTTCACCTACTCCAGAGTGGACTGTGGATTCAAACAATGATGGATTTGGACCAAACTCTACATGAATACTCAATATGCCCAAATGTGAACACTGGTGGAGTTTGGGGAAAATAGAATTTGACATTTGGGAGTTGTAGTTGCTGGGATTTATAGTTCACCTACAATCAAGAGCATTCTGAACCCCACCAATGATAGAATTGGGCCAAACTTCCCACACAGAACCCCATGACCAACAGAAAACTTTCTCTATATATGGCTGGATGGCTCTTTGTCAGGAGGGCTTTGATTATGTTTTCTTGCCCTGGTGGTTGGACTGGATGGCCTTGAGTATTTTCTGTTGGTCATGGGCGGCTGTGTGGGAAGTTTGCCCCAATTCTGTCATTGGTGGAGTTTGTTTGTTTATTTATTTATTTATATACCGCTTTTCTCAGCCCTCAGGCAATTCAAAGCGGTGAACAACATCGATACAAAGCATCACGAGACAAGTATAGAACAATTAAAAACAATTCTAACATAAATCATTAAACATCAGAATAACAATCATTAGCACCTCAACAGTAAAATCAGAGTCCGACTCATCATCCATTATTCCATTTCTATGTTCAATTACACTGTTTAATCAAATGCTTGTTCGAACAGCCAGGTCTTCACTTTCCTCCGAAACGCCAGCAGGGAGGGGGCCGATCTGATATGCTCTTTGATTGTAGGTGAACTGTAAATCCCAGTAACTACAACCATCAAATGTCAAGATCTATTTCCCCCAAACTCTATCTGTGTTCATATTTGGGCATATGGAATATTCGTGCCAAGTTTGGTCCTGATCCATCATTGTTTGAGTCCACAGTGCTCTCTGGATGTAGGTGAACTACAACTCCCAAACTCAAGGTCAATGTCCACCAAACCCTTCTAGTGTTTTCTGTCGGTCATGGGAGTCCTGTGTGCCACATTTGGTTTAATTCCATCATTGGCGGAGTTCAGAATGCTCTTTGACTGTAGGTTAATTATAAATCCCAGCAACCACAACTCCCAAATGACAGAATCAATTTTTTTGAGTGATTGTCACTTCTTGGGTTAGTAGGTGTCTTGTGGCCAAATGTGGCAGCAATTTCTCCAGTGGTTTTTGAGTTATGTTAATCCCACAAACGAACGTTACATTTTTATTTATATAGATATTGTAAAATGACCTCACAACCTCTGAGGGTGCTTGCCATAGATGCAGGTGAAACGTCAGGAGAGAATGCCTCTAGAACATAGCCATATAGCCCGAAAAACCTACAACAACCCAGTAATTCCAGCCATGACAGCCTTCGACAATACATTGTGAAATGATTTTGGGAATGACACCGAAATTAGTGGACCTTGAGCCACCTGTCACATTCTCAGCAACTCTTGTAGAAAACTGTGGATTTCCAATTTTCAGCTAAGGGATTATTAGTATTACCACATTTATTTATACCCTGCTTTATCTCCCCTGAAGGGGACTCAAAAAGTGGCTTAACACAAAAGTGGCATCAGCATAACAACTTTAAAATATATACAAATGTACAAACATTAAAACGAAATTAAATATAACCAGTATTAAAAAGTCCCCAGTTAAAAATCATGAAAACATATATAATAATAATAACAACAACAACAACAGCTGCTTTATTTTTGTATCCTGCCACCATCTCCCCGAAGGGACTCGAGATAGCTTACATGGGGACAAGCTCAGGTAAACAAGGATTAAAAGATAACACAATAAACATTATACCTATGTTTTTATGTAAACATCATAAAACAATATTCAAAGTTAAAAACCACAGCACCCCCTGAATTGATCTTTAACACTTTCATATTTTTAAAAGTCTGCCTGAATAAAAAGGTTTTAGCCTGCTGCTGGAAGTAAAGCAGGGAGGGGGCCTTCTGGCTTCTCTGGGCAGGAAGTTCCAGAGTCGAGGGGCAGCCACTGAGAAGGAAGGCCCTCTCTCATTCCCAGTAATTGAGCTTGAGATGGAGGTGGGACCAAGAGAAGGGCCTCTCCTGAAGATCTCAGGGTCCGGGCAGGTTCGTACAAGGGGATGCTGTTGGGTAAATAGCTTGGACCTGAACTGGATTATTAACTTGTATCTACATTTTTATAATTCCTGTGTTGTATTCTTTAGACAAGGAAGATTCAGAGTTAATTTTGCCAATGCCTTTCTCTGAAATATATCCCACAGCACATTGTCTCCTACAGCTATATGTTCATGCTATCTGTTTTACTTTTTAAAGAGCACACCATATTTCTTGAATTGGCACTCCTACCTCTGCCAGGTGTTTATTTTGTCTTATGTTCCTCTATGCCAGTGTTTCTCAACCTGTGGATCTCTAGATGTTTTGACCTTCAACTCCCAGAAATCCTAACAGCTGGTAAAGTGGGTGAGGTTTCTGGGAGTTGTAGGCCAAAACACCTGGGGAGCCACAGGTTGAGAATCACTGCTTTATGGGAAAACTTCACCTGGCCATTGATTTATGTCCTGCACTCTTTATCTCTTAAGAGATTCTTGTATTTTTGGAAGCTTCTGGGAAGTATTCAAGGGCTTTTAACTTGCTCGGTTATCAAGCAACCTGTTTATTCAGTATAGAGACTGATAAACAGCTTCTCATGTTACCAGATGCTAGGATGAGTACAAGTGGAAACATATAGCTATATGCAATGTTTGCTTTTCTTTTTATTTGCAGTGACTGTGATAAGTGGCCTCATCATGTTCTTACTGTTCTTCTCAGAGCTCCAGTACTATCTCACAAAGGAAGTAAGTGAATTTAGCTCTGTTCCAAATGCAATTCTGGCTTTGTCTTTACATTCTGATGCTGGAAGCATCAATAATTACAGATAGTGTATCAGCCCATGAAACTTTAGAGCCAGCTCCTTGTTCATTGGGTTACTGTAATAAATGGTTTTTCAGCGTACCAGTGTTTCCACATGATAATTGGTAAAGTTAAGAAAGAGGCTATGTTTGCTAACCTTAATTTCTTAGAATAGGAGTGATAAAAATTTTAAACGTTTTCACAGTTGATAAAAAGTTATCCAGACCTTGTCATGATGATTTTGTATAAAAAGCTCTGTTTTCCTGATTAGATATAACAAATTTATGTAACATATGTTGGCTAGTTTTTCTCACAGATGAAAGGGAATGCACAATGTGCTATTTCTGTTTTATTTCTCCTTTCCTGCTCACTGAGATCCTCTGTTTCTTCGTGCTTGCCTGATCAAAGGAGGTCAATAAGGTTATAGTGTTCATTCTCCTGCCTCAGTAATGTCTAGCAATAATTGCGTCTCTAGGTATTGTCATTTTCTTCACTAGAGATTATGACCTGAACAGGAAGACAAAAGTTAACTTGTAACTCACTCACTGTGATTCTGAATATGATAACGCACTTGAGCTACATTCTTTAAATCCTGTTAGTCAGGTAATCAAGGCTGGCTATGGTCTTTTATATTCGATAGCCTCTAACCTTGTCATTCTCTGACATCCTACAGAATTTCCTTTTCTCTTATGTTGTCTGAAAGTAGGGTGGCTAGAAGTACATGTCCATAACAAAATTTGGAAGGCAGCAAAACAGTTCCTGTGAATTTCTAGATGAAATGATTTCTGAAAGAAATTTGTCTTTTTATCAGGTTCACCCAGAATTATACGTTGACAAGTCACGAGGAGATAAACTACGGATAAACATAGATGTTGTCTTTCCACATATGCCATGTGCTTGTAAGTAAAAGCGATGTAATCTGGCCTTTTAGTTGTATAAAACAGTGAAAATTGGACAGTATTTTGACACTGTTACCAAGCTTTTTTAAACCTTTTAGAAACAATGTTTTTGAAGGTGTGTGAGGGTTGTCAGTTCTTAGGTGGTAGTTTTGATATAGTGCAAGAAAGTTTTTTTTTCCGTTTTCACTTGCTTGCTTATCACTTTTTACACTGCAGCATATGATGAATTGTGGCACATGTCATCCAGAATTCTTATTTGTAGAAAGCTATTTTGTACATAACTGGTTATAAGGACATTGCTACTGTATTGGGACTATGTTATTCTCAGCCTTTCTGTTTGTTCTGTTAAAAATGTAATACAACTGTTTGGTTGCCTGACACGATAAATAAATAAATATGTGTGAGATCTCTTTAGTTGGGGATTGATGAGCCTTATTTGTGTAGGTCTGTGCTGCATTACTTAGTGAAAATTCCTTTATTAGTATAGCCACTTATAGCACTGTAGATGTCATTTTTAAATATTTGGTGGTCTTTTTAAAACAAATGTTAGTCAACCATAGTAAGCCTTGGGAGGTTTCTGTGAGAACAACTCTATATTCTCTTTCTTCTGTTCTGTGTCAATGCAGTGGGTATATCAAGCAGTTGCAACTTTAAAGTACCATTTTGAGATCTTAGAAAATCTTATCCTGCTTGATGTTTTTCAGATTTGAGCATTGATGCGATGGATGTGGCTGGAGAGCAACAGTTAGATGTCGAACACAATCTCTTCAAGCAGCGCTTGGATAAAGATGGCAAGCATGTGACTCCAGAGGCAGAGAGACATGGTAGAATAGATTTGCTGTTCCACTGTGGGAGCAGTATTTCAACAAGATGCTAACAGTGGGGTTTTATTCTTTAACATCTGGTATGAAGGTAGTTGAAATCACAAAATAGGCACCTTGTTTAAATAGGGGCCACGTATTTCCTATTGCTAATGGAGGCATGTCTGTTTTAGCAGTGGCTGGGAGTACACTACATTGATAGAGTAATGCTTAATCTGTTTGTTGCTGGTACTAGTATTGTGTCTGTCTTTATTTCAGAGCTAGGAAAAGAAGAGGAGACGATATTTGATCCAAACTCTTTAGATCCTGACCGCTGTGAAAGCTGTTATGGAGCAGAGTCTGAGGACATAAAGTATGTTTGGCTTCTTTCATTATAACCTATGGGATTGAGCAAAAGGATTGCATAGCCATAGTAACTTCTAGATCAGTGGTTCTCAAACTGTGGGTCCCCAGGTGTTTTGACCTACAACTCCCAGAAATCCCAGCCAGTTTACCAGCTGTTAGAGTTTCTGGGAATTGAAGGCCAAAACACCTGGGGACCCACAGGTTGAGAACCACTGTATTACATCTTCTGGAAAGAAGTGATTACATAGTCGCTTATAGTCAGGAATGTTTTTCTCCTGTTCCGATTTCTTAAAGATGGGGTTGACGGGGCTCAAGAGGCCATCATAGTTAATAAATGGACAAGAAGGAACATCATTACCTTTCTGTCCTTCAGGTGATGATAGCAACTCTGTGTGGCATTAATTACTCAGCCCAACAAAAAAACCTTGGTGTCTTGGTTTTTAGTCCTGTTCCTGGGACTATTTGGGGTGCTGATTCAGAAAATTGCATGTCAGCTTTGATTTCTTAAATATGGTTATGATTTTCTGTGGGTGAGCAGATGGTGACTGGTAGTGGGCATATGTTCATAGAGCTGAAAGGGGAAAACTGGTACCATTTTGGGAATGTTGGCCCGTGTTATATATAGAGGGAGTGGGAGCCTAACTCTCCATAGGATTTGGTTGCTTACCATGATTACAGGAAGGCAATGTTACCTCCATGAGTAAAGTCATAATAGCAGAGAGGACTATATATGGTTGTACAAAAATGCTTATGTTTGAGTCAAAGTCAAATATGCATAAGTTTTAAAAGCAGTTATTTACTCATGGAAGCTAGTTACAGCTGCAGTTGGTAAATTGCAGCAGTAACTTCAAACTTTCTGTGGTCTTGTTTGCATAGATATTTTCAAGGCTTCTTATATCAGTCATTGTTGCTGTAAATTGGCCTGTGTGGCAGTTCCTGAATGGAAGATGATTCAGTCCCATTCCCTGTTGAGGATGTAGTAGAGAAACTTGCATATACCTTCAGCTTAGAATCATGTTGCTGGCAGGGATTCCAAGGCTCATCTACTTCAGCTTCTGCCAGGTCAGGAATCTACCCCCAAAGCATCCCTGACCAGTGGCCATCCAGCCTCTTTCTTAAAAGCTTCTCAAAACATAACTGGGATTGCTTTAGAATGTAAGCTACACTACTACTCAGATAAACTGTTCTGGAAGTATAGAAGCCATTCCGACTGGATGACAAGGAGTTCTAGATTGCGTATGACTTCACGTCCCTTGGCAGTTCCTTATAAGGCAGGCCACAAGCTGCACCTAGCATATCAAAGACCCCAGGATCTATTTTAGCCCTTTATGTTTTTGTAAAATCTCTCTGAATGGAATATTCCATGTTAGAATTCCTCAGGAAAAATGATTTCAAGCTCTGTGGCCTTATACAAAACTAGAAGTGACTATCCATCTGGTTTTGGAAAAAAATGCATGAATTCAGCCTACCAGGATAAGTTGGCAATACTGAGTTCTAGGTAAAACAATATTTTCAGAATGAAAGGAAACATTTTCAGCTTGTAGATGCTTTATGATTTTAGAGCTGAACACATCCACTGAATGTAATGTTGATTTATTTATCACAGGTGCTGTAATACTTGTGACGATGTGCGAGAAGCATATAGGCGACGAGGCTGGGCCTTCAAAAATCCAGATACTATAGAACAGTGCAAGAGGGAAGGATTCAGCCAAAAAATGCAAGAACAGAAAAATGAAGGTTGCAAAGTGTATGGATTTCTAGAGGTTAATAAAGTAAGTTTTGTCATGTTTATCACTCTTATTTTGTCAGATGTTTGGAATTCTAATGCCAAAGGTGGCCAGGAAACAAACTTTAATGTTTGTGCATTCAAAATACAGAAACAAAGGGGAAAAAAAGAGAAAACAAAGTTAAAAATAAAAAGTAAAAATATTATTCTATTAAAGATCTAACTAAGTACTACTAAAATTACAATTTTAAGAGTGCTATATTTCTTGGGTATCTAGATTTTGCACATACAGGAATAATGATTCTGGGTATGAAAGTGAATAAAGTATCAAGGTATCTTCTATATCTGTCCAGTAATTTTTTCTGCTGTATTACCTAATTTTGGATGATTTTTATACAACATCAACATCAGAATCTGAGTTTGTACTATAAAATACTGTTTGCAATTCTGAGGAGCAGATTATTTTCAAACTTGCACACTATGGATTGCTGAATAGTTTGATGAGGTGTGGTTGTCTTTTTACAGGTAGCTGGTAATTTTCACTTTGCACCAGGAAAAAGCTTCCAGCAGTCTCATGTTCATGGTAAAGTAGTTTGTATTCTTCTGAATCGTTTCTTGTGATGTTGCCTTTTTCTAAACCAGAGGGGGAACACTGTTGTGGCTATCTAGGGCTGCTATACTAGCTAGTGATGAGGAATTACATGTTGTACTCTGACAACATCCGGAGAGCCACAGATAGCCCCACCTTTGTTCTGATTTTTAAGAAATACTGTTAACTGTCACAAACCACTCTAGTATGCTATCACTAGAGTGAGAAGGGACTAGGATTGTTGGTAAACATAAGACTCTATATATATGAGGGGGGGGGGGGGAAACTGTAGTGCAAGGGTATTGAACACCTAGATTTCCAGACATTTTGTCTTGTCATCCCCACTCAGTATAGCTAAGGTTATGGAGTGCTGGGAATGTCATCCCATACATTTTGAAAGTCAGTGTTTCCCTGCCTCTGTTGCCACATTTAGTCTAACCAGATCTTTGTTTTTCTTTCATAAATCTAATACTATAAATAGCCATGTCAGTGTCAGGATTAAAATGTTAAAGTAGCCAATAAGTATTAATAATCAGGAATTAATTTAACAACTTAAATAATAAACTAATATTATTTAAAGCATTTATTAACAGCTTTTCAATTACAAATCTTAGAGTGATGTATGAAGCAAAACATCAACATTCCTAAGTAAAATTTCAGCACAATTTCACCTAATTGTTCAAGTTATTTCCAACTTACGATGCCCCTAAGGCAGGCGTGGGCAAACTTTGACCCTCCAGGTGTTTTGGACTTCAACTCCCACAATTCCTAACAGCCATGCCTGCCCTACGGCAAACCTATGGCAAGATTGCTTTGGAGGGGGCTTGCTTTTGCTTTCCTCTGAGGACAAGAGTGTCTCTTGCCCATGGTCACATAATGGGTTCACACTATGGCCAAGGAAGGATTTGAACTCTGGTCTCTCAGTGCAGTAGTCCAATGCTCAACGCATAAAACCATACTGGCTCTCACTTTCACGGGATACCCCAAAGAAATATATTTCAAATATTCTAAAGATACAAGTTGACATTACTTTAAAGCAGCAACAGTTAGTCCCTTGACTTTCTGTTTGAGCCAAAATTCATTTGGGCAATTACACTGGCATAAGTTTGGGCTATTCTGTGGCTTTAAATTTACATGCTTGTATAGGGTGCTATCTAACACTCTGTTATACAAGAAGTTCTCCTCTTCCCTGCAGCTATGCAGTCATAAGTAATTGAAATACAGAAATTGTTGTTTCCCTATTCATCGCTCTGAATTGCTCATTCAAGAATTGGTAGCTTGAAGAGGATTTCAGTCTTTGCCTTGTTTCTGTTACAGTTGTAATCCAAAAACCTTCACATTATAATGCTGCAGACTGTTGTGTAGTTCTGTTTCTTTCTCATATGAAAGTCAGGATGTGAATATATAGATCCAAACTATTGGACTGTGACCTAAAGTGAATAAAATGCTTCATGAAAGAAATATTTTGGTTTCCTCAGGGTTTTCCCCCTCAAAATGAACAGAGCACACATATCCAGTTGATACCTTGAAGCAATTGTCTGCAACCCTTATAAAGGCTTCCTCTCAAGGTTTATGCTTGGGTACTCTCCATTATTAGTTTTTATTCCTACTATCAAAGTGCAATAGGTCTTTTCAGAGCCTCTGTATGACAGTTCTGTAGATTAGTACACTATATACGTCATTGACCTATTGCTTGTTTCCTGTTCAATAACACATCCTTGTACTATTGGGAACTTTTTAAAAGGCAAAACGTATATTTTCTGTTTGGCTTTTGTTTCCTATATCCTCCCAAATGGCAATTTTGGATTTTCTGTTCTTTCCCGTTCTTCTCCTGACTTAACTGTCCTTTGCTAAGGATTCCACAAATACCCTGGTAAATAGAAATGTGTTACCAATGAATTCTGCTAATCATCTCAGGTGTATATTTCTACTGTTAGTCTTTGGTCAAATTTAGTCTTTGGTAAAAGCTAACATTTTTCTCAGTTTTTAGAATCTTGTTTTAGATGTGAAAATCAACATCATCAAAAGTATTCATCTTGTTTAGATACATGAATCATCTCTGTTCTATCCTATCTCTTGAGATTTCACCAAAAATGTTATTTTGCTAAAACTGCCATTTTTTCTAAATATTTTAAGTTTTCGCATATCTAACATTTGTGCATCCTGTTTTCTTGCTCTTTCAAAATTCCATCATTCCTTCCAAGGGTCATATTTTGTCATTTTTCAGTTATTTTCTCATCCTCTCATTTCTACTTCATAGACCTATACACAATTTTAGAATTTTCATTTTTATGAAGTGTTTGATTGACCACATAAAGTTTTCCTTTGATTTCTACTGCCTCACTACTTCATTTTCTATATGTGTTCCTGCCTCTTAAGATACTGTAATATTGTCAGTTGATCTTGCTTTGCCATTTGTGCTCTCAACTTGTTAAATCAAGTTTATAATAGAACAACGTGGGATAAATAAGAATTTACCATACAGATCCATCGAAAGATGAAGATAATGGGTTTTAGAGTCTTTTTGATAGTCCATATTACAACATTTGTGACAGAAATGGACAATGGCTGACTCTCCAGACATTGGTTTTGAATATAGATACCTGCCTGGCTCCAACTGCACTTCATTGTTTCTAGTATACAACCTGACCTGATAGATATCATTTGAAAGGCAAGTGAGGCAATCCCATATACTATTTGGTCACCTTTGACTTCAGTGGAATTTAGAATAGGTATGTTGGAGCACTTCATCCATGTATATTAAACCTCATAGATATATTTTATTTATTTATTTATTTATTTATTTATTTATTTATATTAAATATAGTGAATTTGAATAGTATCTCTAGCAATTTGGTCCTAAGTATCATCTCAGCTCTGGAGATTATAAATGAATCATCTGTCAAATAAATCATAATATTTTTTATTATGATTTATTTACAGCATTTATATTCTGCCCTTCTCACCCCGTAGGGGACTCAGGGCAGATTACAATGTACACATATATGGCAAACATTAAATGCCAATTAGACATACAACATATATAGACATACACAGAGGCTATTTAACTTTTTCTGGCCACCAGGGGAGTTGTCGCTTTCATTGTCCATCTGCAACACTGATGAAGTACTTCCGCATTCCCGCATGCTTTGCTGGAGTGCTTTTTGCTGGAGTCTTTTTATGGCCTCATAAATTAGTTAATTAGTCTTCCCACACATAGGTGGTACCTAATTTTCCTACTTGACAGATGCAACTGTCTTTCGGGTTGCAGAGGTCGACAACAAGCTACACAAAATTGGTCGGAAGCTCACTCCGACCCGGGCTGGAAAATGCTGTGTATAGAAAATGCTGTGTATTCCTGTTGAATTACATTGTGAAAATTTAATGGATACCTCTTAAATTGGCTTCACTTGCTCAGGGCAGAGAAAGCAGAATAGATCACAGGGGCATCCTATGCACCTATGATATTGGAGTGGCTATTCATGTCCATTTTTAAGGCAAATTAATTCCTTGCTAGACTTTGCACACTGTAAGTGTAAAGATACAATATTGTCTGTTGCGCTCATTCTCAAATGTCTGCTGACTCTGTAGGGAAGACTTGAAAACGAGTAGTAGGAATTTGAATCATTCCCCCTTCTTTGTGTTGCACATCCAAGACTGAATACTCGATACTCTGTGTTCCATGAAATCCTCCTTTTGCAAAGCACATTCACAAGGATGGCTCAGCTGGGATGGGTTGAAGAAATACTAGATATTTTTCAGCTTATAGCATATTGATTTCTTCTGTGATTCTGTAGCTCCTACTGTCCAGCAGTAGACAGCCAATGCTTCATCTCTGGTTGATTATATTGGTGGAGATTTCACAAAATGTATGCTGTAGGCTTAGGGTCTTGTAGGCAACATAACCAGTGCTCCTATCAACAGAATTATTTTTTTTAATTGCTTTTGATTTTTGCATCCTTGCTTTACAGTGTGGAGCTCTGAACATTTCTCTCTTTCTTTTCTTAACCCTGCTCGTTTTTGCAGTGCACGCTGTTGAGAGTAAGTGTTGCTGTCTTCTTTCCTTTATTAATTCTGTCCCATCCATGTTTAATCTAATTAAACTTCTCCAGCTGATGCATGGCACTGCTTAAGAATGAGAGTTATCAGTAGACTTTGCATGCTTTCAGTCAGAGGACTACAGGTGGATATTTTTCTCTAGACATCAGAGTTTTTAAAAGATTTCATTTTGATTCACAGTTCTGTTCTCCTCTTCAAAACTATGTTGACTGATCATATAGACAAAACCGTGATATTAGGCCTTTTTATCTCCTCTGTCCTCATATTCCAGATAGAGAGCCTGTTTACTTTTAGCAGTGCACATATAGAAGCCCCTTTATATTTTCTGTAGAACACACTGATTTCAAGGATTAGAAGTGTGGGTACAGCCCTGCTCTCCATTAAGTGATTATGGTGTTGAAAGTGAAAATAAAATTTATGGTACAATAGTCATCTGAATATGTGGTGTGTGCTTGTTTAGTTTTATTAAAAATTCCAATCACTTTAGGCCAAATCCTATTGATTTTCAGTGCAAGAAAGGAAAAAAAGTAATACTGAATTTTTATGAATAGGGTGAGTTAGAAACATGTCTTCTCTATCCATGTAGCACAATGGTTCCCAACCTTTTTTTGACCAGGAACCACTCTCCAACATTAGTACCCAAAGGATTATGAATCAGTTTTTCGTCAGCTTTAGATTTGGTTTGGTTATTTGGGGTGCTGATTCAGAAAATTGCATTGGACAGACCACATCAGCTCTAGTTTCTGATACAGAACATTTGCCATCTACTCGCCCACAGAAAACCATATTTAATAATCTGGAACTGATGGTAGTAGTAATCTTTCATGGGTAATCATCCTCTCCCCTTCCGACATCCCCATTGCATTGGCACTATAAGAGGGTTTTGCAAGACCAGTCACTCTCGTTGCCATGTGGTTTTGAGGCAATGTAGTAATGGTGAGGCTGTGGACCATATTTTCATTCTTGCAGACCACTGGTGGTCCACGGACCACAGGTTGGGAACCACTGATCTAGCAGTTGTTTACCAAGGTAGTTGATGATTACAGCTTACAGGTGATGTCTAGGTTAATTTTAAAAGCTGGTATAGGAGTTGTTCATGTGTAATATAATTGAGAAACAGTTGTTTCCCAGTTTCAGGATAGAGTTTCGCTGTCAGACAGTTCTTTAAGGTCTAAAGTTGCATGTTTTTATATAATCTCCTGAAACCTGGTGATGTCGGCCAGTTGAAGGTTCTCTTGTGGTAGCTCCAATTATGGCACACTAGAATAACGCCAGACAGGTGCACCAGTTTTAGGCAGGGGAAGTGAGAGAGACTTTAGAATAGAAATTCCAAACACTTCATGTTGGTGACCCATTTTTTATGCATCACTTCGTGACACAGTAATTCAGTTTTACTAGCAAACTGGAGGTTAAACCAACCCCTTATAAGAAATACAGACACATACAGAAATTGTAATAATGAAATGTATAGGGGCACAACATATCTCATGAAAATCTTTCATTTATATTTCTAAATATAAATGGTTTATTGCTTATTTCACAGAGACACTGTTTATTGTTACATTTCTGTGACACCAATGCAGCCGACACACTGTTGCAACAGACAGTTTGGAAAGCTCTATTTTAGAACTGAAAGAGATATGAAGCCAGGATTGTAGTCATAGCAAATCAAAATGTTTTTGGTGATGAAAATAAATCTAAGCAGCCCACTTATTACATATCTCTACCACTCATGCCTACAGCAGTAATTAATATAAAGAACCAAGAATATAAATGTGTTGGGGTTTTTTTTTAAAGAGAACAGCAATATTAGACATTTCTAAGAAGCCTAGTATTCAGATTCTTGCCAGTACTGGACATAAACAGTAAGAATTTAATCTTTAATCATTAGTTTTTAAAATATATATAATTCATTGTTGGTCATGATTAATTCAAAAGGGGACATCCTCCAAATATCCTTTTGGTGTCTGTTTTCTGTGAAAAACTGGCACGCTAGCATTTTTGTTTAAAGTTTCATTGTTTCCAGCAGGAATTGATCCCTATTTATAAATACAGTTAGAACTTTAGAAATTAAAGTCTTGATAAACTTACATTAAACTAAACAGTATATAAATATATACTAAACTAAACTTAAAAATGAGAGAGAAAGAAATCCGTTCTCTTTACAAAAAATAATAATAATAGAAGCTATCTATAAAGATCCTGTAATTTTTTTAGATGGTTGCAAAGAAAGAGAAAGTTATACTATTTCTCAATAGTAAGATGATAGCATGTAGTGGTCTTCCTGATCTGCAGATGATATTGTCACCCTTTATTGTCTTTTCAATATTGATAAATAATCTAGAGAGATGTAAGTTTTAACTTAGTTTTCAAATGACATTTGTCAGGGAAGCTTTGTGGATTTTTAATACATCTTCGTACACACTTTGAAAATGTACTTTTAAAATTTGAAAATAAAAGTGAAAGAATTATATTATTAACTTGGGAGTCTATTGCATCTATTGCATCTATTGCATTTTATGTAAAACAGATTCCATATGGTTGTAAGCGTGAGAATAGACTGTTTAGTATCGCTCTCCTGTCTTCTCAAATGTCAAAAGGTTCAGTTGTATTATATATTTTCAACTGGCAACTTTTCAAGGAAGAATTGCAACTAAATTGAGATATTATTGCTGGAAATTTTATATTGCTCGTGCCCTAAGTGTTTAACAATCGATGGAAGTCATATTTGCAAATTGGAAAATAATATTCTACAGAAATGAAGCTAGGAAAATGTCATTCAGTAGCCAAAGTAGGCAATAAAGTAATGATAGAAAAAGAGGGGCATCACACTCCTTGCATGTCTAATTAGTGTAGAATAAGAGATAAGAAAATATTTGCTGAATGAATTGTATGCCATGTGCTTTATTAGAAAATGCTGTGCTTGTAAGAATGCTATAATTTTACTTCCTTTTTGAATATTTTAAAATATTTTGCCCATTAAAAAGGGTTGGGCAAAATAATCTCAAAATTATCTCTCTCTTACAGTTCATGATCTGCAGAGCTTTGGACTTGACAATGTAAGTACCTTGGGAAAGGCAGACTGTGGGCTTTTTATTCAGGTCTGAAGGGGTAGAGAACAAGTGCCAGTGCAAATACAACTGATTTATGTGGTGTTAGCGTGGCCTCTGAATTTGTAGAAATCAGAAGGCACGATTTTGAATAAAAAACTTCAGTTGTTGTGTGCTGATGAGCATGCAGTTCAAAATATTGCTGAGACATAGAGGTCTTCCCTCTTTTAAGTATATTCTGCAGGAGCCTTTTTACTCTTTGGTAATGCCTCTGCCTATAAACAACATATCTGATTCCTGGGGTTCTTGCTCCCAGAGGGAGAATATATATAATTGCAGGGAGATGAGTGTATTTCTGGCACAGCTTTTGCCCTAAGGTTGTATATTCATGATGTTGGATAAAAAATGGGAAGCAACATTAGCATCATCAGCTTGCAGAAAACAGGCACAGATGCTGAAGTGCTATTGCTCTGTTTCAGACTGAGCAAAATGGAAAATGACTGATCTAATTTACACCTATTGAAGACCTGATTCTATCAAGAAGAGAGAATGCCATCAGTTTTTTTAAGTGCCCTTTGTTGGTTCTGTAACCGCTTGAAAATGTTGGTCTTTTTTCCCCCAGATAAATATGACCCATATTATCAAGCACCTTTCATTTGGGAGAGATTACCCTGGTATTGTGAATCCACTTGATGGAACAGTGGTCACAGCTCAGCAAGGTACTGGCTTCAAACTAAGTAGATTTTCAGTATGCTAACATCTCATTTTCAGGTTGAATGGTGAAGTACAATAAATCCCGAAAACAAAGACAGACAATCACATGTGGTAATATTGTACAAGATGCATAGATATGCTTTTATCAATATTCTATTTATAATATCTCTCTGAGTTGAGCAAAGAGCTATTATGCCATTCTTTGAGATTATGGGAAGTGAGCATTCAGCTTCTCAGTTGCTCTTCTTCTATAAAAGTCATCTTCCTGTCAGAGAGATAGTGATGCATGTATATGAGAACTGTATAGGTTCCTTTCAGATCCTTTTATTTCCCATCTCAGTGCTATACTTTGCACAAGTGAACCCATTTTAAGTCAATTCTTCTCTAAACATTCAGTCTTTAATTTAAGTACCTAAGATATTAACCTATAGTGCATACATAAATATACCCAACACAAAGTAAACTACATAATGGAACATCTCTTTGTTTGATTTATGGATACTAGTACTTTAGTCTGTAACCATGTGGATACAGGTATGCATAGTGTCAGTATCCTCAGTGTCTTCTGTTATCTACAAAGCAGCTGAAGGTTTTGCTTAGAATCCAAGTGGATGTGTGACTAGTTCTGTGCAATAAAATACACAAAATTTCTCTTTCATAAATGTTAATGTTCCATGAGCTAGCTTCTGCTATGGAGAGGATTTTCAAAAAGACTTTGTGATATGACATGAGTGTTTGTCATTCAAGGGGAAAACTTTCCTCCACCTTCATATCTCTTTAAATCTTCACTTCTGTTGTCTTTGTTTCTGAACACTTTATTTTGCTTCTCAGCTTCCATGATGTTCCAGTACTTTGTAAAAGTAGTCCCTACAATATATATGAAGGTTGATGGTGAGGTAAGAGCTATTTGATTTTTTAAAAAATTGGTCTTGGATTTAGTTGTTTCCTTTGGGTTTTTTTGAGAGTCAGGCTTCTGTTGTGCAGCCAGTGAAAAAGTAGAAGCCTTTCCTTCCTTTAAATAAGAATTGATTGATAGATTGATTTATTTACACTCCTTATTTATTTGCTTCCAGCATTTCTCCCATTTTTGTGGCCCAGGAAAACTATGGAGTTTCTTCTCTTACCCAAACCAAAAAAAAAATTGGTAGCTGATAGTGGCAGTACTCACTCAGTGGGCAGGGAGGGCCTTGCGCAAGGAGAATAATTTCTTGTGCAATGCTTGAAAAACTGTAATGGTAACAGAACTGAATGTTACATGAGAGCAAATCACCAGCAGAATTCTAGCCAGTGTCTCTGGCATAAAAAGGAAATGTAGAGAAATTATGGTAATGATGTGGTTATGCGTATGTGTAAATATGAAGAAGAGGAAGAGAGAATTAAGCAGAATGTACTTAACAGTGCTTCTAACTGGGAGAGAATTCAGAGAACCAGAATTTAATACAGTCATCCTAAAGGCCATAAATCCAACATTGTATTGTGCTGTTTTTCTTTTAATTAAAACTGTTTTCTATGTTTGTGTTCCCTAGGTGGTCAGGACAAATCAGTTTTCAGTAACTAGACATGAAAAAATAGCTAATGGGCTGATTGGAGACCAGGGTCTGCCTGGCGTATTTGTGCTATATGAGCTTTCTCCAATGATGGTAAAACTAACAGAAAAACACAGGTAAGTGGTTTTCACATGAAACTGAGAGCTAGCCCTTCCCCCCATGAAATGTTTTGCTTGTATCATGTTCAGTACATATACAAATTTACTGTTGAACTGGTTGTTGAAGTTCTCTGTTCTGTCGGAACCTATTAAGATAGCTACCAAAGTATTCTTAAAGCATAAGGGTTACAGCCTGTGTTGGATGGGGTTACACTCCCCCTGAAGACGCAGGTTCGCAGCTTGGGAGTGATCCTGGACTCATCGCTGAGCCTACAACCCCAGGTTTCGGTGGTGGCCAGGGTAGCTTTTGCACAGTTAAAACTCGTGCACCAGCTATGCCCATACCTTGGAAAGTCTGATCTGGCCATGGTGGTCCATGCTCTGGTTACATCCAGAATAGATTACTGCAATGCACTCTACGTGGGACTGCCTTTGAAGATGGTTCAAAAACTTCAGTTAGTTTAACGGGTGACAGCCAGATTACTAACTGGGGAGGCATGCAGGGAGCATATCACCTCCCTGTTATGCCAGCTCCACTGGCTGCCGGTCCATCTCCGAGCCCAATTCAGAGTGCTGATTTTGACCTAGAAAGTTCTATACGGTTCGGGCCCAGCTTACTTGTTCGAACGTATCTGCCCCTACGTCCCACCTCGCAATTTAAGATCATCCAGGGAGGCCCTGCTCTCGCTCCCGTCAACAGCACAAATGTGGCTGGCAGAGACGAGGAGCAGGGCCTTCTCGGCTGTGGCCCCCGCCTATGGAACACACTCTCAAAGGAGGTAAGATCTGCTCCCTCGCTCCTGACCTTTAGAAAAAAATTAAAATCARGGTTCTGGGACCAGGTCTTCGGACAATAGATGTATGCAGCTTTTAGTGGGACAAGGARTGGAACAGTGATTCAACTGATGGGATTGTTTTATGGTTTTAATAACTGTTTTGATATTTGATGATGTACTGTTTTTAATATGATTTATGTTTAAAGTGTGGTTTTACTGTTGTAGTTGTAAGGCATTGAATTTTTGCCATTATCTATGTGTAAACTGCTTTGAGTCCCCCTCGGGGTGAGAAAAGCGGTATATAAATGCTGTAAATAAATAAATAAGTTAAAATTGRATTAGCTATGGGACCTGCAAGCCCATTGTTCCTTCCCACACTGCTTTTGATCTTAATTCTTCCATTTTCGGTTAAACACTCAACTTTTTCAGAATGTAGTTTTGGTGTGTGTGTGTGTGTGTGTGGGGGTGTCTTTTGGGGGCTCCACTTGGAGAGAGGGGGCAGAATATAAATGATGGTGGTGGTGATGATGATGATGATTATTATTATTATATCCTGAAAGAGCAAAATAGCCCCTGAAGATTGCCATTAGCAATGGGATGTCATTCTCAATCATCAAAAATATAGATGCAGTGGCATATTTATAAAACTAAAAGTGGGGGTGATTCCCCCGTCCTTTGGAGCATGGCCACTTTTGCAGTATACATAGTCAAGTGATGCTCATGTTTTGTTTGTTTTTTCAGTGTAGGAACATATAATTTATAACGTGAATACTTCCTAATACTAACATTTCTTTCCTGTTTAGGTCCTTTACACATTTTCTCACAGGAGTCTGTGCCATTATTGGAGGAATATTTACAGGTATTAGATTTACATTTCAGAGATCAGAACCATCTTTGGTCTACATTTTAGTTTGTAAATATTTTGAGCAACGCAGGATACTTATTGAAAGCATTTTTAAGAACGACAACTTTAAAGATCTTCATTAATTACAAAAATAACAGAACTATTATTAGTAGTGAAAACAAATGCTAAAATATGACCAAGATGTTAATTAAGTGTATGTGTAGCTCCAGATGTGCAGCTCTGCATTTCCCCCACTGCCTGGTTGCTGTCAAGTCCCAAGAGTGTGACCTGATTTAACCCTTTTTGTAGAAAATATGTACAGGATGCATCTTGAAAAATCTTAAATATTGGGAAAATGCATTGGCCTTTCCCTCACCCTACTTATGTCTGCTAAGAAAGCCAGTAACTCCTCTTAGGACTTGGCAGCTTTAGGCAAGTAAGAGAATTTGGGATGGAACACAAGAAAACAAGAATATGCTGGCCTGGTGTTGGTATGCTTCATATGTTATTTTGGAGTAGAGGCTGCACTTCCTTTCTCTCACAGCAGTGCCCAACGTGCACGCTTCCATAGCCAGATGCAAAATCACTGCAGCTACACTGAGGCCTCCAGCAGAATCTTGAGCCTCCTTGCGCCCCATTGTACATGAAATAGCTGGAGAAGAGACTTCAGAGGCTGTACAATAAGTCTGCGGTGATGATGATCTATGGCTTAGCCTAGCATAAGCCAGTATATGGAACTACTGAGCCATACAAGAGCCATAAATAAGCATATTGTTGTATAAGCATTGTTTGGTGCTCTTCAAAAGTATTTCCTATGAACAGTGGTGATTAGCTTATTTACTATGTACAACATATTTCTTCAGGCATGCAGTATCATTCCTATACTTTAGCAAGCTTAGAAATGTATCCCTGTAACTGCAGAGCAGGGTTTTTTTTTGTTTTTGTTTTTTGCTTTTTTGCTTTTGAAGAATGCAAATTGTTTTTTTCCCCTGTGTTAGCCATTGTGTTAAAGTATTTTATGTTTGGACATGGAACATCTAGATTGACTCTTTTTTTCTCTTCACAGTGGCAGGACTCATTGACTCTTTAATCTACCATTCTGCACGGGTCATTCAGAAAAAAATAGAACTTGGAAAAACGACATAAAATAGTGTCTGCACACTCCTTAAAGAACTTGAAAGAAACAAAAACATCAATTTTTAGGCCAATGTCTGATAGCGTTCCAAGGGCAGATTGCTGGAATTTCAAGAAACACTGAAAATAGTTCCTAGTTGGAACAAATGAAAGAGGGCATTAATTTATACATCCATCTTTTCTGGCAGTTATCAAGACCATAGATTTCAGTACTTGCCTTATACGTTGCCATTTCTCTCAATTTCTAGATTCTGAAGCAAAGAGCAGTGAGCTCCAAAATGTGAAACTCAAGACCTTTTACATGTGGGAAAAATAATGTTTTGTATTTAATTTGTATCCAGTGATACTTTTAGGATGTGTGTTTGGAAGAATTTCTCAGGAAGAAGTTTTAATAAAGACCCCTAATATTTGTTCTCTGTTTATTCTGTTAAGAAATATTGCATCAAATAATATTGCCCCACAAGATGTGATCACTTCCCATCTTTCTTGCTGTCCATTGTTTTCTTTTTAAGTATTTCGAAAGTCCCCATTTTGTATATGCCTTAGAAAAATAAGAAAAGTACTATACATCTTGGTTTATCTAGTGGACATTGGCTATCTCCAATTTCTAATATGAATCTTTCTGACCCTACCTTGAGATCATTCTCTGACTTTCTGCCTAGAAAGTGCATGTGTTGCCTTAGGCACCTTCACATCTGGTCAACTTCAGCACCTTCTTGGAATGACTGGTGTTGTGTTTAAGTCTTTGAAATCCAGGTGTTGAACGCGATGATCCTGTGGACATCCATCATGAAAAGGTTTCCATTAATTGGTTGACCTTCTAGAGTAGGAGGGACGTTGCTGTTTTAATCTTGTCCCATCTCTTCTCTCCTTTAATGCCTCACACATCAGTTAGCTGTATCTTAGCCTTATATCCCTATCAAAAGAGCATCATATGAAACTCGTGTTCATTGTAGCGGTGATCAGAATGCTTTAGCCCAATTATGTTGCACTAATAGTAGTATTTGAGAAGTAAAACTGATAAGGCAAAACAAGACTTTTGTCTCGTATTCTGCCCAATATGTGCTGACTAGAATACTTTCCAGCCCACATCCTCCTCAGTAATTCCCAAGTAAGTGTGTTTAGGGTTCTAGCTTTCTGTTAAATAAAAATCCAAATTGCAGGTTTATGTACAAATATCAGTTGTTTGTTGGCCAAAAAAAATCAAGAGGAAATTAAAAACGTTGATAAGGACTCTTCATCTTTGGGGATCTTTAAGTAGGTTGGATGGATATCTATCAGAAGTGCTTTAGTTGTGTATACCTTTGTGGTTTGGACTAAATCAGCGGTTTCATGGACCACCAGTGGTCTGCAAGAACGAAAACATGGTCCGCAGCCTCGCCATTACTACACCATTGCCTCGAAACCACACGGCAATGGTGGTGACTGGTCTCGCAAAACCCTCTTATAGTGCTGAAGCAACTATATAGAGATGTCAGGAGGGGAGAGGCGGACTATCCATGAAACATCACTACTACCACATCAGCTCTAGATTATTAAATATGGTTTTCTGTGGGCGAGCAGATGGTGACTACTGGATGCCATATGTTCTGTATGAGAAAGAAGAGCTGATGTGGTCTATCCAATGCAATTTTCCAAATTAGCACCCCAAATAACCAAGCCGAATTGAAAGTTGACCAAAAACTGATTTGTAACCCTTTTGGTACTAATGCTGAAAAGTGGTCCCTGATCAAAGTGGTCCCTGGTCAAAAAAAGGTTGGGAACCATTGGACTAGATCAACCTTGTGGCCCCCTTCAAGTCTGTGATTCTGAGCAAAGAAGCAAGGCTCTATCTGTGTTGAATACTATTAAAACACCTTTTACTAGAAACCGAGAAGCATTTCTTTCACATACTAAAACTTGCATCTGTATTATTGGACATGTCTTTTAAAAATATTACTTAGTTCGGTAATTCTGAAATCCCCCCACCAACACTGTACTGATTAATTTGGATCTGTCATATACTGTAACTTGTTTTAATATCCTCAGGTTTCTGCTTCTTATGCAATAGCTGTGCTTTTGTGAGGAGAGTTTAGTCAATCAAGTTCAAAACCTTTGCCATAGATTTGGTTTGATACTCAACCTGCTTCTATATTGACAGCAGTGAATGGTGAACAGCTTGCTCTTCATAATCAGAAATCATAATCAAATGTACGGCCAACTATAGTATCTACTGAACCACCTAACAAGAACTTGGAGACCACCAAGTCTGAAGATCACAGCTTGAATCCCTCCAACATGGAGCAAACAGAAATGTCTCAGATGTTGTTGGGTTGTGCAAGCATATTTTCCAGCTTACCTCTTTCTCTGAAGACAGTAAAATGAGTCATCACATGGAACACCCATAGAGCAATATGAATATTTAGGTGTATATATATTCCCAGTTATTTTTGAGTTCATGGAAATTTACTCTTTCTGTTGTAATCAAATGCAATGAAGCATGTATAATTGATGACAACTCAAAAGAAAAAGCTGTGCATGCAATACAGACTATAAGGCACTGAAGCAGGCTATTTGTAAAATAATACTTTGCCCTCTTCTGCAAGTCTTTCAATGAGTCCAAGTTCAAAGTTGGCATCGTGTACCCCAGTCTTACGGAATGCTCCAGCATAATGGTTCTCTTCCCAGTAATGGTGCCAGTTCCCATTATTGTCTGCACCAAAACCAAATGCAGAGACCTGTTGTACAAAGCATGATAAAAATATCAACAGACAGAAGATTGAGTTCTGCAAACAAGAAGCACCTGCCTACATTACTTACAAGCTGAAGAATACTGCTAGCTTTTTTGACATTATCCTTCCAGGATTGACCCTAGCTCAGGTAGTGCCTGTGTGGTGTTGTCTACAGCGACCCCGTGTTTTTTCACCCTTGAATCTGCCTTGTCAAATGGTGAGTCATGCTGCCCATGGGAATCTACTGGATATACTACATCAGGACAACTTGTGTTTGTAAATCGGAACAGGTTGTGATAGCACAACACATGTTTCACACAAAGGCTGTGATTCTGTCTAACAATTGTGGAGCAAGGCTTCTCTTCTGCTCCTTTCTCATACAAATCAGTTTCTAGAATATATTGGATATTGAGAAGGCAAAAGCTGCTTTTCTTCTCCATTACAGAAATATAATTAGATGTTGGTCAGATGTGGGGACACACATTGGCACTGTCACACTGTCCTGCTTAGGGAGATATTGCACAAAGAGATACTGAATACTTCCCAACATCTACAACAATTCCACAAATGACTAATCAACAAGAATTTAGCTGTTATGGTCAATGAAGTTTTCTTTCTAATTTCAAGGGGGGGGGGTACTATGTTTTTGACAAACTCTCCAATGTACACTTTCTGTGTAGCCAATTCATCAATTGTCAGTCAGTTGTGATAAAAGGTACTTGACTAAGACAACCTAAGGAAGGAACCCAAGAAGCAACTTGATAACCAAGTCTTATTAAAGTACCTCTTAATAACATCCTGCTACTTGTGTAGGTAGTACTTACCTGTGTACAAGTATGGATAGCAAAAATGAGTGCGGTGAATCCAGTAGATGGATACCTTCCACGGTACTTAGTCCATTTATCCTGGATATATTTCAGGAAGGCAGGGTTTATGATTCGTACCTGGGAAGTAGGGAGAGGTTTAAATCAGCAATTACCTGGCTTTCATTAGGTATGCTTGCAGAATGGTTTTGAGATTGCGGCACAGGTGCTGCCACACCTTATGTCAGGAGGTGAGAAAGAACTTTCTGCCCTCCAGATGTTTGATGGCAATTCTCATAATCCAGTAGCCAGTGATTTGTGGAAGTCAGAAACATATTAAGTTCAAAGTGCCTCATTTCTTTTTTAGGAACGCCAGATTTTGGCAAGCCATACCATGAAATGGGCTGAAGCCCCAGCTTGTAGTCTTCATTAAGCTCCTACTACTCACTAATTCACCCCACGTGTCACAGTGACTTAGTGGGAAGTTACTGAAGTTACTTGCATTCTTCCCACCAATTCTGCAGCACTTTCGTCTCTTGCTCCTGTGTCCTATACACACATAAGTGCACTCACCGAGAAAAGTCACATTAAGGGAGTGTGAAAAATAAAAAATCTTCTAAGGTTTTAATCATATTTAGTTTAAGTTGGAAAGAAACATAAGCTCTAATGCAACTACCTGAGCCTTCCTTCTCTATCCAAGATTGAGATGTAGTTCTAGGTCTTAAGTATGAGTCTAGATCACTTTGTCCAACCAATGAAAGTCAGTGTGGCAAATGTTAATTACTCCCATCGTGCTCAGCCGAGGAAACCCACTGGGTGACCTTAGGTAGGTAGCACTCTCTCAGCCTCAGAGGATGACAAAGACAAATCTTATCAAGAAAATCCAATGACAGTTTCACTTCCACAAGTCAGAAATGTCTTGAAGGCACACAACAACACCATGTGTGTAGGTTGCTTTCCAGATGCTACTAAACTTGCATGTAATGTTGTACTAGAGAAAACAACTATTGTAGATACTCCTCTAGTTAAGTATAACCTTATGTAGCTGTGTTTGATAATTGTGAATATCATCATTGGAGACAGAAAAAAGGAAGCAAGAACATTTGCTAGTAGCTGCTATGGCCTAGCTAATAGAATTGGGCTTTTCAGGCTGAAAACCTATGTATTCTTTATTTGGAGGAAGCCCCGTTGAATGCAGTCTGACTTCTTTCCAGGTAATCATGCATAGGCTTGTGTTTTCAATCATGCTTCCAAGGTAATACTAACCTTTCATTTTTCATCGTACCAATGCACCCTTTTCAGGACCCTTTAAGATTCACGCCAGAGCTTGCTTTAAAAAAAATAGTTGCTGAAGCTATACATATCTTAAAACTCATTGTTTGTGTTCTGAAGGATTGCAATAGGGTTTGGCCATAATTGCATTAAATAACAAAAGCCTACATATGTTTTCAGATATAGTTATTCATTACACCTGAAGGCTTAGGTAGGGAATAACTTCAAAAAAGAAATAACCATTCTGATATTATGCACAGGTCAAATCTATAAAGTCATTCCCTTTCCAAAAATATTGTTCTCAGATTTCTCAAAAGAGGACTTTTGCTCTGCTCGGTTTAGTTAACATGAATGAAATAAAAACTCAACAAAAGACTTGCATAGCAGGGAATTTTGAATGGAATGAAATGCTTCTGCCTTCCTTTGCTCCTTACCTTGCTTTTATCTGCTTCAACAAATTGTTTGACTCTTCTGTATGTGCTGTGAAAGGAAAGGGGAAAAAAATGTAAGATTTCTCCTTCCCACTCCGCCAGTTAAAAGCTGTGTTTCTCAGTTTTTTTTTACTATTCCTCCCAGAACAGATGGGAGGCTACTGGAGATGAAGCAGTCAACCTGTCAATTAATAGTGACGGATTTGGTATCATGCTGCTCTATTATGACCACATTTTTAGATACCTTGCCAAAATTCAAAGCTATGTCATTGAAGGGAAGTATTCACAGTGCTATCTGGAGCCCACACTAAACATCAATTAGTTTAAATGAGGGTTCCCAGGAACAACTCAAGATTTTTTCCCCTACTGACCAAATTTACCATAAACTTATTTTCACAGGAAATGTGCTCTTCATTAACTTTAAAGGACCATTCCAACATCCAACATGCATTCAACATCCCCCATGAGTCTGCTGCAAAAGAAAAGAAGACTGGGCTTATGATCTTGTTACCGTTTTATTATTGTTTACGGTAGTTTTTTTATGCTGTAGTTCAGTAAACGTGATACTTACTGCTGTATTTCTCCTGAGGAAAAGGCACTGGCTAGCCATTTGAGATCCAGAGGTTTGAAGGGGACAAGCATAAGATGGACACCAGAACGAAGGTCCATTGCACTCTCTGGGTACATAAAATGGTGGGTGGTTTTTGCACCAACATCCTCTTCATAGCCTGAAGTTGGTGCCGTGTTGATCCTTAAAGAACATTAGAAAGGTAATCAGATGGTTTTGGCAAAATACCAGGACAGATACATGTGAAAGGTTGGGGCCTGATCTAACATATGTTCAGGTAACCTCACTTCAGGGACTTGTTCAGATATCACCAACCTTTCAACATCATGATATAAGTGCACCATTTTCAAGTGTGGCCAGGTTAGTCTTTACATAGTAACATTTCTCAAATTCTAGAGTTGGAGCTGATAATCAGAATACAGCCAGGCCACCATATTTTACAAGGAAAACATTTCTGAGTAGAATTATGACTGGCTACACTAATCTCCATACATCATTCACCTTTCCTGAAGATCCAGCCTGCATATGTCCTCCATAATTTATGGCAGGCTTCCAACCTGTTAAATATGTTTTTCTCAGCTAAACAACAGAGGTATCATTTTGTAAAATCTTCATATTTGCATCTGTTGAATCAATGCAGGCACCAAGATGTCAATCCATGGGAGATGTGCTTTGCCCCAATGTATTTGCTCAAGAGCAATCTATTAGACAAGGGGTTCTCAACCTGTTAGTCCCCATATGTTTTGACCTTCAACTTCCAGAAATCCTGACATCTGGTAAACTGGCTGGGATTTCTGGAAGTTGTAGGCCAAAACACCTGGGGACCCAGAAGTTGAAGACCACTGTATTAGAGGTCATATTTTCAATGTGACCAGAGCGAAAAGTGGGTGGGCTGCCACTTCTCATATCCTTCTCTTTCTGTTTCACCCACCCCCTTTTTATCTGACTCTGTCTTTCTACTTCCACCAGCCTACCCTCTTCCTCCCACCACTGAAAGAGGGCCAGGGAGGCCACTTACTGTATGTCACAGTTCTGAACCAATCTGCTACAGAAGTTTTTTAGGCTGAGGGCTGTGAGTTAGTCACCCTGCGATGTCTCACTTACCTCAGGACAAAATGGTGAGAGTCAATATTTTCCCCATATTTTGAGCCTCTCAGCCTCCCCGAATTCCCCACCACAGCACATGTTCCACACTGGGCAGTCTCCTGGGTTTCTGCAGTTGAGGATGGAAAGATCTCAAACAGGTGTTTTATTATCTTCTGTACTTGGTTTCCATCCTGTGATCTTTGTAGCTTCTAATGGAGCAAAACAGAAAGAGTTAAGGCGGAAAATGGACCCTGGTTTCAAACAGTACCTTCCACCCTGTCTCATCATGATGCCCAAGCTGTGAAATGCCCCAAAAGTCTAATGTAATCCTTGTTATATCACTGGACATATCACTGGACACAAAGGTACAAGGGGATTTCAAGTGTGATTTCAAGTCCTTTTCAGCTTATGGCTACTCTTTGGTGAAACTATCACAAGATTGTTTCAGAAGGGGTTTGCCTTTGCCTTCCACTGAGACTGGGAGAGAATGACTGGCCCAAGGGTATCTAGTGGGTTTCCATGGTCAAGTTCGGATTTAAACCCTGGTTTCCAGTTATAGTCCAGTACTATTACTATAGTCCAGTACTATTACTATTACACCATCCTGGCTCTTGTGTATACACACACACACATATATCTCAGCACTAACTGGAGAGATATTACACTACATTAGCTGATCTCTCCCAGAGAAATAAACAAAAACAAGACCAAAAAAATGGGATAAAAAGCAAAGGACTGAAGGAGTTATGGTGGGAAGAATTAAGAGACACTGCTGCTTCTCCATAACAGCTTCTATACGTATGGGCCAGAAAATGTGGCTGACTGACACTGTGACTGAGGGGAAATTACACACTCTGTTCCTATTAGTGTATTGATAGGCCACACGAGGACCAGAATATGTGGCAGATAATATAACAAAGAGGAAATGAAAGGTGCAAGATCTTACTAATAGAGGAGAATGTCTACAACATAGGAAAGGAACAAAAGAAGTGTGGGATTGCAAAAGATTTACTCTATACACATACCCCAAAGGAACAACTGTAACAAAATCAAATATAAGACCGTGGGTAATAGATGACATTGAAGAGAAGCCAAAACTCATCAAGCACAGAAACTGTCACACTCCTCCCATGTGAATTTGATAACATAACTTGCTGTTTGCAAACTATTCTTAAATAAAGCTACAGATTAATATCATAACAAAAGTTGCTACCTCCTTGAGAGAATGGTCAATGCCTTCTGCTAGGATGGCTCTTCCTGTGGAAGTAAAGTATTGAACACAGGAATGGGCTTTGGAGGCACTGTTTTGCAGTGGCTCCAGTCCTTCCTAGAGGGTCGTTCCCAGAAGGTGTTGTTGGGAGACACCTGCTCAACCCCACAACCATTGTCCCCCATGTTATTTAACATCTACATGAAGCCACTGAGGGAGATCATCCGAAGTTTTGGGGTGCGGTGTCACCTGTACACAGATGATGTCCAACTCTGTCACTCCTTCCCACCTGCTACTAAGGAGACTGTTCAGGTCCTGAACCAGTGTTTGGCCGCTGTGACAGTCTGGATGAGGGTGAACAAATTGAAATTGAATCCAGACAAAGTACTCCTGGTCAGTTGTAAGGCCGAACAGGGCATAGGGTTACAGCCTGTGTTGGATGGGGTTACACTCCACCTGAAGACACAGGTTCGCAGCTTGGGTGTGATCCTGGACTCATCACTGAGCCTGGAACCCCAAGTTTTGGTTGTGACCAGGGGAGCTTTTGCACAGTTAAGGCTTGTGCGCCAGCTGTGCCCATACCTTCGGAACTCTGACTTGGCCGCGGTAGTCCACACTCTGGTTACATCCTGTATAGACTACTGCAATGCACTCTACGTGGGGTTGCCTTTGAAAACTGTTCGGAAGCTTCAAATGGTCCAGCGGGCGGCAGCCTAGCTACTAACGGGAGCAGCACTGGAGCATACAACTCCACTATTGCGCCAGATCCACTGGCTCCAAATTTGCTACCGGGCACAATTCAAAGTGCTAGCTTTAGCCTATAAAGCCGTAAATGGTTCCGGCCCAACTTACCTATCTGAATGCGTCTCACCTTCCAAACCTTCCAGGAATTTAAGATCATCTGGGGAGGCCCTGCTCTCGATTCCGCCTGCCTCACAGGTGTGCTTGGCGGGTATGAAGGACGGGGCCTTCTCAGTGGTGACCCCTCGTCTGTGGAACTCCCTTCCTGGGGATATTAGATTGGCCCTCTCCGTCCTAACCTTTAGGAAAAGAGTAAAAATCTGGCTCTTCGAGCAAGCTTTTGGAACCTCATTGTAACCAGATAAACTCAGTATTGTGAAAGAATATGGAATTGCTTAAGGATGCCAATGGACATGGATTTAAACCCAGAAACCATTGATTTTTATAGTTTTAAATTGTTTTTATATGAATTTTATTATGTGATTTAACCTTTTTTAAACAATGTATTTATGTGTGTTTGGCATCTCATTTTTGCCAGTCTGTACGCTGCCCTGAGTTGCCTTTGGGCTGGAAAGGGCAGGATAAAAGTGTAGTAAATAAATAAAATAAATAAACACAGGCTGGAAACCTGCATTGGTAGATGTACGTCTTTCCCCACCTCTAAACCCACCTTTCAATTGATGCCACCCCTGCATCACAGTCAATTCCTTGGCACTGTTAAAAGGGCAAAGGGAGCAGTGGATATCTGCCTGGCTATTTTCCTTTACCTGGATGAGCTGCAACATGTAGCTATAGGAAGCACCAGAAGTCCCAGTGAAGTCCCTAAAGATGATATCCTTATATCAGCTACAGGAAAATAGCTGGACACATTTCTATTGATGGACACGTTGTGGGGGCTGCATTGCTTGAAAGATGAGTTTGAGAGACGTGTTGTATGTTGTACAGTCAGCAAAGAATTCTAGCTTCCATCAAGGCCAAAAAAAGCAAGTTGTGATGATTTAAGTCCAACTTACGCCATCATACTTCACGAACAGAACTCCAGCCATAATTCTGTATTATTAATGCTGCAACTTCTAAAAGGGCAGGAGCTCCCTTTGGGCAAAGCAGTCAGCTTCTACCAGTTTCTCATTCCTTACATTTTCTCATGCAATGGATTGACAGATACTACAGCTAAAAATCTTTCTTCGTTGTTCCCTCTAAATATAGATACAACATTCTATGCTTGAGAGGTCTAAAAGGGAGAAAAACAGTTTTCCAATGGAGCTTATAGAAAAGCAGAGAAAGCTAAAGTTGAGAAAATGAGTGGGCAACTGTTCCAGGGGAAAGGAATAATTTTACCCCCATGTCTGCACTTTCAATAAGCATCGCCGATTTTGATTTAGCTGTTTTCAACACTTTACACTTTGAATTTAGCTATATTTTAAAATAATTTTTCAATTGGTGGGGGTTCTACAAAAATTTGGGCAGGGGATAACAGGAGGCAAAACAAGGCAAACCTCTGCATTTTGTTCCATTTTTGTGGTATATTTTATGGTGATTTGTGGCTATGTTGTTTTTTTTTTATGTGAGGAGCGGCTTAAGAAACTGCAAGTCACTTCTGGTGTGAGAGAATTGCCCATGTGCAAGAACATTGCCCAGGGGATGCCCAAATGTTTTGATCTTTTTTACCATCCTTGTGGGAGGCTTCTCTCATGTCCCCGCATGGGGAGCTGGAGCTGACAGAGGGAGCTCATCCACGCTCTCCCCGGATTCGAACCTACAACCTGTCGGTCTTCAGTCCTGCTGGCACAAGGGTTTAACCCATTGCACCATCAGGTGCTTCAGATACTACGTGGTACAAACATGGAACATTTAACCATTTGGAGAAGTGGAACAATCATAATCTTCTCCATATGTTCTCAGTGCCCTTGCCCTTAAGGAAACATTCATTGTGTCTACTAGTCTGTATAATTGTATATATCTCAGCGATTCTCAACCTGTGGGTCCCCAGATATTTTGTCCTTCAACTCCCAGAAATCCTAACAGCTGGTAAACTGGCTGGGATTTCTGTGAGTTTATTTATTTATTTATTTATTTATTTATTTATTTATTTATTTACAGCTTTTATATTCCGCCCTTCTCACCCCGCAGGGGACTCAGGGCGGATTACAGTGTACACATATATGGCAAACATTCAATGCCAATTTTTGACATACAAATATACAGACATACACAGAGGCTATTTAACTTTTTCTGGCCGCCAGGGGAGCTGTCGCTTTCATCGTCCATCTGCGACGCTGATGAAGCACTTCCGCATTCCCCGCATGCTTCCCCGCTGGAATGCTTTGCTGGAGTCTTCTTTATGGCCTCATAAATCAGTTAATTTAGCCTCCCCACACTTTAAGGTGGTACCTCATTTTCCTACTTGACAGATGCAACTGTCTTTCGGGTTGCAAAGGTCGACAACAGGCTACACACAATTGGTTGGAAACCCACTCCAACCTGGGCTGGCTTCGAACTCATGACCTTTTGGTCAGAGTGATCTTAATGCAGCTGACACTCAGCCAGCTGCACCACAATCCCGGTGTTGTAGGCCAAAATACCTGGGGACCCACAGGCTGAGAACCACTGATATATCTCTTTGTCAATATTATGAGGCAATACTCACCAGCCACCAAAGCAGAACCTCTGGAGGGATCTTTTGGGATTCACGAGTTAGCAGGCAGTTGACCGACGTATCATAGTGATCACAAAACCAGTCCTGAGGGTTATGGTCAATGCACCTGTTGCAGTTGCAAATTCTTTGTTCTAGGAAGGAATCCAAGGATGACCATTGTTCAGAGCTGTCTGGAAAAAGGCCCATATGCACACACCTGTACATCTTCCACAGGAAAGCTGCCAGACACAGCACCAAGATGACCCATGGCTTTTTCTTGACTAGCATCCTTCATCCCATCTATTTGGTTTGGATCTTAAAGTTAAGAAATCTTCCAGTCCTGAAATGATGTACCGTAATCTGTTAGAGAGGTAGCCTAATGTCTCTGAATTAAAATAATAGTTGTTGTGTTTTAGATATGCTATGTTTAACTAAAGATTTTTTTCTAACAACTTTTCAGGAGGTAAAATACTTGTGTGCTGTGCTATAACTGTATTATTGCCCACATAGAAATTTCTGCAGCAAGCGGCTTCTGTTCACATGTTGCTCCCCACCCCAAATGAAAAAAAAATGGACATCTTGCATCTTAGCAACTCACAAAGTGGGTGTCATTCCTTCTCCATTAACTCGTGCATCCCAAGTTCTGTGCGTGTGATCTTCTGTTATGGTAACACATCTTCAAAAGACTGAAACACACACAGAAAGTGCTAAGTCAATATGGATGAGAAATATAAGAAAGCAATGCCATATAACAAGATGGTGCTCTCATTTGTTAGGCACAAATAGTGTATCTTTGATTTCTGTTAAATAATATTTTTTAATAAACTACATGCTTTTTCATTAATATAAATGTTCCTCCAGCAATAGCAAGAATATCCCCGTGAGCAGCAAAATCAGACAATTCCAACTGGATGGCCTCCTACAAGCGTCTTGCAAAACAAGAAAGGGCAACGTGGAACTTCCTGAACAGACTCAGAAGTGAAGTGGGAGGATCAAAAGACAACCTGATAAAATGGCACTATCTAGAACAGGGGTCCTCAAACTAAGGCCTGAGGGCCGGATATGGCCCTCCAAGGTCATTTACCTGGCCCTCGCTCAGGGTCAACCTAAGTCTTGAAAGGACACAACAACAACAACAACAGCAGCAGCAGCAGCAGCAACAACAATCCTATCTCATCAGCCAAAAGCAGGCCTACACTTTCCACTGAAATACTTATAAGTTTATATTTGTTAAAATTATTCTTCATTTTAATTATTGTATTGTTTTTAAGCGTTTTTGCACTACAAATAAGATATGTGCAGTGTGCATAGGAATTCATTCATGTTTTTTTCAAATTATAATCCGGCCCCTCAACAGTTTGAGGGACAGTGACCTGGCCCTCTGTTTAAAAAGTTTGAGGACCCTGATCTAGAAGAATCCTCCACCTTGTGGAGCAGAACAAACAATTCCGCACCTGTATGCTTGCCCATAATGCCCTGCCTCATGCATAGAGGAAGAATTGTTTAAAGCCACACGGACAATGCGGTTGTTGTTGTCTGCTTTTGGTCTCATACTACCTAGCCTTTCTTTTATCAGTTTTAGATAAAGTATTTCTTGTAATGCTTTTGACATATAAGAAAGAAAGAAAAAACCTAAAGATATAACAGGAAATAAGCCACCACATCAGATTCATTTTCTATAGTTATATGATGTGTGACCTACGGATGTGAGTGCTGGACCTTAGGGAAGGCTGAGCGAAGGAAGATCGATGCTTTTGAGCTGTGGTGCTGGAGGAAAGTTCTGAGAGTGCCTTGGACTGCGAGAAGATCCAACCAGTCCATCCTCCAGGAAATAAAGCCCGCGACTGCTCATTGGAGGGAAGGATACTAGAGACAAAGTTGAAGTACTTTGGCCACATCATGAGGAGACAGGAAAGCCTAGAGAAGACAATTATGCTGGGGAAAGTGGAAGGCAAAAGGAAGAGGGGCCGACCAAGGGCAAGATGGATGGATGGCATCCTTGAAGTGACTGGACTGACCTTGAAGGAGCTGGGGGTGGTGACGGCCGACAGGGAGCTCTGGTGTGGGCTGGTCCATGAGGTCACGAAGAGTCGGAGATGACTGAACGAATGAACAACAACAACATGATGTGTGATTTGTGTTTCAATATAATTTCTAAGCACCTAACCAGATAGTGGACAAAAAAGATTGATTTGTTCATTTCAGTGGTCCATCTTAACTAGTAAACTTATTTATTTATTGTGTCAGGAGCAACCAAACATTTGTATTACATTTTTAACAAAACAAACAAACAGACAAAATGCAAGCTTGGTAGTTGATTAAATGTCCTTTGACCAGTATCTGGCCACTTGGAGTGCCTCTGGTGTTGCCGCAAGGAGGTCCTCCATTGTGCATGTAAACTAGTAAACTGAACAGCAAAAATGTACCCTGGTTGGATCTGCTGAACCTCTTGGTTGCATGTAATATTTTCAATCACAAATAACTTTCTAAAACATTTGTCAGAAATGGGACTTGTAAAGCACCTATGTTTTAAGGTGACCATAGTCCTCCTTGGCATTGGAGGCAGTGCTGTCATCTTAAAAATATAGACAATAAAAACAATAAGAGATGCCCGTAGCCATGGTCATAGTTTCCCTTATTCAAAAAAGGTAGTCATGCCATTACTTATAAGGGATGCAGGGTCAATGAAAAACTCTATGTACTGTACAAGCTTCGGAATGAACCAATTACTTCCGTGTGTTGTCGAAGGCTTTCATGGCCGGAATCACTGGGTTGCTGTAAGGTTTTTGGGCTGTATGGTCATGTTCCAGAAGCATTCTCTACTGACAAACTGGTCTCACAATCTCTGAGGTTGCCTGTGAATCTCTGAGGATGCCATAGATGCAGGCAAAACATCAGGAGAGAATGGTTCTGGAACATGGCCATACAGCCCCAAAAACTTACAGCATCCCAATTACTTCCTTATCCTATGTACATTTACCTGGGAGCAAATCCTATAAAACTCAACAAGGCTTACTTCTGATTTTTAACATCAGATTTTTTTTTATTTCTCACATCTAACAAAAGGAAAAGATACTATTAAAGGAACACAAAATTAGAAGGAAACGGCGAAGAAGGAAGATAAATACATGAGCAAGAGGAAAGAGCAAATTAAGAGAAGGGAAAGCAAGGATGTAAGAAAAAATACATTTAGAGAAATGCGAAAGAACTACTCTGTGTGCCCTTAGCTGCAAGTTGACTCCATTGATTTCAGCAGGATTTATTAAACATGCACCAGCTTGAGCTGCAGCTGTCACAGAAGGAAGAGAAAGAAAAGGTACGTGGAAAACAGAGAGGCAAACAGAAGGAAAAGAAAAGGCATGAAGATGTAGGGAAAGAGGCAGAGGGTGCATGGATCTTTGGCAGGAGGGTCATCAGTTTGTCTCCCTGGACAGAGAGAAAGGAGCCTGGGCTGTGCTCGATTCCAGTCGGCAAGTGGGGCAGATGGTTTAAGCAGGAGGCAAGGGAGGGCTGACAGATTAAGAACTGTTTCCCATTCATTAACAGTCTCTCGGCAAACATACCTTGGAGAAGGGAGGAAAATCACAGCTGTTCCTTCTTTGCTGCTGCCCAGGCAGGACTGGCTCAAGACACTTTGCTGCCTGCGGCGAAGACGGTGTGCCGCGTCCCCACCCCCTCATGCCGGCAGATAAAGCCTTATGGCAACACTGCCAAGAGGACAGCATCCCTGCCGCACATGAAGGTGCAAGCAAGCTGAGACCTGGACGCTGGGCAAGCCACGGGACCGACATAGGTTTCTCTCCCAATACCTTCCTGCCACCCACATGATCCCTGGCATCTGCTTTTCAGGGCAGCTACCTCTTTCGGCTTAATGGTAAGGCCAGCCTTCTTCTATCCACAAGAGCTTCCATTCCATCATCCAAACCACCTTTCTCCACCTATTGGC